TTTTTTTCTTCTAATACTGCACATTCTTGGTAAAGGGTCGTGAATGTCAGGTGAGAGCTCAAATAATTACAAAATAAATCATCATACATGTATGATTTTATGCAAGTGTATCTCCCAGTCTACCTTGAATATCTGGGAAGCCACAACTGTGCTTTTCAAACAAAAACAAAAATTTGCAACACCAAGCTAAAAGGATCATTCCAATACTTTATTCTTTAAAAGAGATTGTATTCTTTGTTGTTGCTAAAAGAACAAACTTTTTATAGTAAGAAATTTTTTCCTGATGGTTCATAAAATTTACAAATGTGTGACTGTGTGTGTTTGAGATATTATTAGCTTTTAAAATTTGTGAGTTTTCTTTTCTGTTGGTTTTGCTAAATGTGCAGACTTATTTATATTTCAGACTTTGAAATTTTTGCATATTGTTCAGAGACTTGCTAGTGAATGATTGGTGATCTGATATTAATTGGAACCCATTCAGGTTAGAATGCTGGTAGGCATTATCCAGAGGAAAAAATCACAATAAAATTCAAATAGATGATATACATAAAGGAATGGTTAAAATTTAAAAAGTCAAAATCAGTGATCACTCAAATACTGACAAGGATGTAGAAAAAAAGATGGATCTCTCGCAGATCACTGTTGGAAATGTAAACTAATACAGACACTCTAGAAAATACTTGACAGTTTCTTGTAAAACTATACATTGTACTGATGTTATGAACTATCATTTATACTCTTAGTACTTAGTTCTAAAAAGATAGACTTAGGCTCATGCAAAAACCTGTACATGAATGTTCATAGCAATTTTATGCCCACTAACAAAGTACTAGAAACAACCCAGTTATTTTTCAGTGGGTGAATAGTTTGAAAACTCTGGATAGCCAACAATTGGATACTACTTGGCAATAAAAAAGGATGCACTATTAATGCATGGAAGAACTTGTGCGGACCTTCAGGGCATTATGTTTAGTGAGAAAAAGAAAGCCAAAGTCAAAAGGTTACATACCAGATTATCCCATTTACATAGCATTCTTGAAATGACAAAATCATACAGATGAGAAATAGATTGGTGGCTGCCAGGTGACAGGGACAGATCATGAGGTAGAGATATCATAGTACTCACAGAATGGTTATGTATGTTGGTGGAGGTGACACAAATCTGTACATGGGATAAAACTGCATAGAACTGTGTGTGCACACTCAAAGGTTCACTGTTTTAAAAAAAATGAAAACTGTGGAGATCTATGGATTGGTTAGCAGCAATGTAATAATGTCCATCCCTTCAACTTGATATCATAGTACCGCTGGGTAGGATCTTGCCTTCAAAGGAACATGAAACAAGGGTACCCATGACTTTACTATATCTTTACTATTTCTTCAGCTTCATGTGAGTCTATATTAATTTCAAAATAAAGCACTGGGTTCAATTCTCAGCACCGCATATAAATAAATGAATAAAATAAAGGTCCATCAAAATATTTAAAAATATTTTAAAAAATATTTAAAAATATTTTTAAAAATATTTAAAAATATTTTAAAAAATATTTAAAAATATTTTAAAAAATATTTAAAAATATTTTTAAAAATATTTTAAAATATTTTAAAAAATAAAAAATAAAACAATTTTTTTGAATAGTAGTTGTAATACAATGATAAGACACTATTAAAAATAGAAGCCACCTTTCACATAATTGGCATTTAGAACAGCCTTCTCCTCAGAAGCTGGCTTCTAAAAGTCTTCATTTTGAAGTGATAATCTTTAAATTTTAATTCAGGCCTGCAGTTGTGTAAGCTCAAAAAATGTCTTGTGTGAATATGAAAGCTTCAACTCTGATCCCCTCACTCTGTTTTCTTCTTCAAATGCCCTTTATTTGACCAAGAAGGATGTCATTTCCAAAAGTGCTCAGGGACCCACACTTAACTTCAACAACATTTTTCTCTTAGGTTATTAAGGCTGCTCAATTTTCTCTGTTGGTTGCTACTCTGAGTTGGAGACTCTTCTGAAATGTCAGACTGAGAAAATTGTACTGGTTTCAATATAATTTAAAAAAAAAATAACAAAGCTTTGGAATTAATCCAACCAGTAGCCTTTGATGGCAAAGTTAAAACCCTGCAGTTGAATGCTAAGATGTATAAAGCCATCTTGTGTGTGTGTGTGTGTGTGTGTGTGTGTGTGTGTGTCTTTGTGTGTGTCTTTGAATGTTAGTATGGCCAAGAGATTGGGAAACATAATAGGTCAATCACAAAGCACTTAATGATTTGCGAGCTCCTAAGCATAATACCTTATACAATATGCGTGTTGTGCTGAGTGGTAAAGGTTATAATGATGAACAGGACAGGTGAGGCTGCCCCAGAGATCTCCAGTTTGCACCCCCAATATTGACAAGTGTTCCAGGTTTATACTGGGACACTGAGTAAGGAGAAGCAAGGTGACATACAATACAAATTCCAAGAAAATTAGAAACCCAGCAGTCAAAGGAGGAGATGGCCTAGTCAACAGGAGGGAAAGCAGGTAGGTCTCCAGAGATAAGCATATGGAGCAGGCGGGAAATTGCAGGGCTATGAAAAACAAAACTGTAAAATAAAATCTTACAAGGAAAGCTTTTAACTATGCCAAATTAGAAAAACGGGTAAGAATTTGAAAGTCCACACTAATATAGTATACAGCAATACAGAATTTTTCTTCTGAAGTTTTGTTGATTGCTTGGGATGCATGTGGCTCAGAGAAAATTTTTAAACAATTCTGCTCAACTGTGCATAAAAGTTGGCATTCTCAATAAAATAGCCAATCCAGAGAAGATGAAATGATGGCACTAATGTGTCCTCAAAAGAAAAGTCACCAGATTTCTCACTTCTGTTCCATTTTTGGTGTTTTTATGTTGTTGAAATATTAAGTTTTAGAATTAATGAATATGAGGCCATTCGACAAATACCTTTATAAAGAATGCAGTTTTATTCACTTCTTTCACTTTAAGTACTTAATGCACTGACTTGCTTGTGTTGATCATGTTGATTGTCTTTAATTCAAGTCAATAATAAATTAGCAGCCAAAAAATCCAAGAGGATTTACTCTGGAATACATAATAAAAGAAATGACCTTGGCATTAAAAACAAGATATATTGGGCTGGGGTTGTGGTTCAGTGGTAGAGCACTTGCCTAGCACATGTGAGACCCTGGGTTAGATCTTCAGCACCACATAAAAATAAATAAATAAATAAAGATATTGTATCCAATTACAACTAAAAAAATAAATATTTTAAAAAACCAAGATGTATTAATGGATGAATAGAAGGTTTGGATAGATTGTGGAAAAAGTAAATGGAAGAAAGGTACATCGTTCAATTTAAGAGTAGGGATATGGCGCTTACTATAAAAGTCTTTCAACTTTTCTGTGTTTGAAAATTTTCATAAAAATTTCAGAGAAAACTCAAAAAAATAATCTCAAAAGAATGACTGGAAATTTTGGTGTCTAAGTCAATCAATAAAGAAAGCACTTCCTTTCCTAAAATAATGTTCCAAGGATGTTGCCAATGCTCAGTGTAAAATTAAGACACTCTAACAGACTGGGCACCGTGGTACATGCCTATAATCCCAGGGGTTCAGGAGGCTGAGACAAGAGGATCCCAAGTTCAGAGCCAGCCTCAGCAAAAGAGAGGCACTAATCAACTCAGACCCTGTCTTTAAATAAAATTCTAAATAGGGCTGGGGATGTGTCTCAGTGGTCTACTGCCCCCGAGTTCAATCCCCAGTACCCACCCACCCACCCCCATAAAAAAAATGTAACAGAGCCTAAGGCTTACAGTAAACATCTCCAGGTTTCACTTCTACATGAAGAACAGCATGATAGGAAGGAGCTACTGCAATTAATAAAGTGTCCAACTATGTGGAGATATTTCTTCCTGTCCCAACATTACATTGTGTTATGCTTTACGTCTGATTGTCCATTTTATCAGGTAGGTGTCTGTGGACCCAGAGTCTATGTGACAAGCCCACAACTCTGACAGAGGTCCAAATGATGTAGGTTTTGTTCAGCTTTTTCTCAGATCTGGAACACAAGTACAGCAACACACAGTTCCTTGATTAAAACAGCAAAATTATGTAAAACCAACCAAATACATATGACAATAATTCTACATCAAATCATGAAAAAGAGTTTTCTGTGTTGTTTGCTTTTGTTGTTCTACACTGACTTAAACATTCATCGGCCTTGAAGTCAAATTTGAAATTTTAATGGGATTTTTAAAAGTCCTTATTGGTTTAGAATCAATTCATTCAGAAGCATGGTGTTTCTGATTCATGTAAGTAGCAGTTTGTTGTTGTTTGATTAGTAACTCCTCAGAATTACTGTAAGAGTTTCTGCTTACATTCCATACAGTGTCCATTTTCCACAAATTTTTCAGAAATTCCCAGTGGCAAATGCCTGAAGATGATGCGTTAACAGTTCCAATTGCTTCTAAGCAGTCCCGGATCTTAGAAATCCCAGACAGGTTGATATTGATCCTTTCAAAAAAGTTAGGTACAAAGGAAGTGTATCTGCCAACCTCCTTTAGAAAGGGTCAAGTAACCAGTTGGAAACTTTTCTAAAGGTGTCACATTAAACTTTAATAATACCTACATTTTTTACAGGGCTTTTAACTTGGCAAATTGCTTTCACATGCATTTTATAATTCCACATTCTATTGCAGTGGGCAGAGTCTAAGGTTTAGGGCTGCATTGCAGAGGCATTGATATCAAAATGTTGACAGGGACATTTCCAAAAAAAAAAAAAATGATATTACTTTGTTGAGCAGAAGTATTTAATGGGAAGTGACTGGCTTCAAGAGCAAGAATTCAAAAGGGTCATGGTTCTTATCATCTCTTTAGTACTGTGCTCAACTCTTTGAGGTTTATCAGAGACATTTTGCCTGGTTTGGTTAAAAAGGAGAAAATGACTTCCTTTTTCCTCCCCTCATCCTTCTCATTTCCGATTTTCTCTTTCTCTGTGATACACCTGCAGGTCAGCCCCACCCCCGGGTGCATCCGTGCTCTCATGAAGATGCTGTACTGCCCATACTGTCGAGGCCTTCCGGCTGTGAGACCGTGCAACAACTACTGCCTCAATGTCATGAAAGGCTGCCTGGCGAATCAGGCCGATCTGGACACAGAGTGGAATCTGTTTATAGGTAAGAAACATTTAAACAGTCTTGGAAACTGAGATGTGAAAACAGCAAGTGTCTGTGATGCCTGATGGGCAGGTCAGAAAGGATGATGACTTGAGACTAAAGACAGCTCTTAGCAAATTATAAACATTGTCTTCTTTTTCTTTAATCCTGCAAAAGTAAGACTTTTCTGCGTTCTGCATGGTACAGTCCTGTTGGGTATGCATGCGTCAGCTGTGTTCAAGTAGTGAATCGCTCCCATGACCATGAAAGTCATCTTGCTGAATGTCAGCGAGCTCCTGCAAGAAGGGACCCGTTAGAAAAGAATCTTGAAAAAAACCCAATTCACAGTACTCTCTTTTATTTCTGTTCCCTCAATTTAGCCGCTGATCTTAGGAAACAGTTCCTTTCTTAAACTTCTACAGTGAAGATAGTTCAATACTCTGGCTAAAACATGCAAACTTTCTGGGGAAAAGAAAGATTCAAGAACACGGGCCTTGAAAGACCTTCCAGTCTTGAGAAGGCAGGAGGAGAGGAGGTGGAGGTGCAGAGGAAGGGCTGTGAATCATGGCTCTGTTCTCCAGTTGCAGAAATCAGTCAGGAGGTGGCATTGCCCAGAGATATTTCCCAAATAGCTATCCAAGGATAAAAGGACAAATTTTATAGGCAGGCTTCTCCCAGGAAAATACACAGGCCTTGAAAGAGTAAATGTGTTTTCTCCCCCTCTGTCAAATGGCCTTCAAATAAAAGTACTTTCAATTGCATTTACTGCAATTACAGAGAGGTGAAAATAGCAGTGGCATTCATCAGCCTCCAAGGGCCTTCATCCTTGATACAAACCTCTAAACCAGAAGGCACCAGCAGAATCTTCTGACATCTGAGATTTGGTAGGACAGGAAAAAGATCTAAGATGTGTCAGGATCCACAGAAAGCTAAGCTCACTCTGCACAGACTTGCTGAGGCTACAGGCATTCGGCCTTGGCAATGAAACCCACTGGATAGCTCGTTATTTTGCTTAAGAAGGCCAGAGGAAAGGGCTTTAAAGTTGAAGAAAATAGATATTAGTGTGAGTAGATTAAATTGGAAGTCACCCAACTAAATCTCCAAATCATTTCATAGAGAACAGGTGAATTGCTATTCTCTCTCCCTTCTGTGGCGGGACAGAATCTCTATATATGATTTTATTTGAAAAACAATAGCTTTTTTTAAAAAAAAGTTAATTGTTGAGTTCTAACTCAAAATAACACGATTCTTTGCTAAGATTCTTGTCCTTCACTAAAATGTTGGAAGAAGTTGTAAATAGAAAATAAGAATAAACTTGACCTCTGATATAAGATTTAGATTAACTTTAGTAAAGACAGGGTACCCAAATAATGAAATAAAAAGAAATCTAATCAAGAAATCTAAAAATATTTGCATATTTTAAGCCAGATTAAAGCTCATAGCATCCTTTGAAGTCTTATACATCATTTAAGCTTTTCAATTGAGATTGCTCTAAATCCTAGCATTGTCTTGGCCAGCCTGAGATTTATTACTGAACGTGAGTAAGTAGATTTTGTTATGTAAAGAAGGTCTTAGTGATGAATGAGAATATTCACCTTTGAACCTGTAAGAAGAGTGACTTCTTAATTGACTTTCTTTCTCTTAATGCTGATTGGCTATTTTAACATAAAGCAAATCCTTATACTTTTAATCAGCTGGGTTACCTACATGCCAACTGGAGGTGAAATTGAATATCTGAAAAACCATTTGACATAAAAATGAAAATGAGAACCTACCATGTGTTGGTTGTACCTTACTGGAAAGTGGAAGTGATACTGGATCCTACGTGAATGTGTTTCAAGTCAGTTCTTTGTCTATTTTTTTTTTATTAGTCCTGGAAGTCTTTGAGAAAATTCTTCCAGTTTTCTTTCTCCTGGTTTTGCCATGGCACTGAGAATAAACCACCAACCTAGATTATAGAGCAGAATATGTTCTTGCTAATACTCATCTGGTTGCAAATGTGTTAGTTCACACATTTATTATATGAATAAGTCAAAAGTGCCAACCTCATTTGCAACACAGATTCCTCCAAGATGGCAGCGTTACAGTGCTCACCAGTATGGCCGCAAAAATCTGTGAGCAAATTGGTAATCCAGCAAAAATTATGTGTAATAGCCTCTCTCTGGTTAGCACCTGCAGCCCATCATTCCCGGAGTCCTGGCATCTTCATCAAAGGCTTCTCTCCTGTTGCTGTCAGTTGTGTGTGCTACATGAACAGCCCAGTTTATACATTTTGTGAATTTTTTTCTTTAATTATCATGTGCTCATCTAAAACATTAACAGTGGCAGACAACCGACTGTCAATAAAAACAAGAGTTATGTCAGAGGCACATCATCATGATTTTTACATTGCCAAGAACTGATTGAAAGTGATTAATAGCTATTTAGAATTCAGTTGGTATCTGGATCATGTCAAAAGAAAGACAGTTCACATGTAAGGGGAAATGTCTCCTTTTAATCTTAGGGGGAAAAAAAAAATCAGGAGTCTCTTCAGGATGCATTTCCCAGTGCTCCTTCAGGAAGTTCAACTCTGAGGCTTGCATAGATTCTTGTTAAGTAACTAGTGCTGGAAGAAGGAAGAACTTTACTTTTTATATAAAAGCTTCTTTTAAAAAAAAAGTTTTCCTTAAATTGCAGGCAACTTTGAAGAATATGCTAGAAGACCCATTTTAAAGTACTTAAAAAGCCTCAGTTCACCTCTGGCAGATGGCTTCTCCTGCTCTCTAGTAGCATGTGGAATTCCCCAGTACAAAGCACAGCCCAACTTCCACTTGCAGATGGGTCAAAATGAATGGGTGGGCTGCAGGTCACCCCAGAGTTGGTCAGGACAGGAAGACATAGGAGAGGAGTTGTACTCTGTTTTCACTATCAGAAACCAGCAGTAGGAGAGAAACCTAATTTGAGGCCTTTGCTTGGGCACTTAACACCAGGTGTTTCTGTATAGTCATGCATGACTTTTCCCACCCTAGCTTCTGAATGTTGCCTACATGCAAAATGGTTTTTCTTGGAAAGTGTTTACATTACATTAAAATTTCCTAGAGGGAAACAGTTTGTGGGCAGAACTCGGTTCAGTCATATCCTGTGGTTATTCTGAGTGTTTGGCATTGAGACCAACGCAGCACAGATAAGAATTGTTCTATTCGACAAGAGGTCCTGCTGCAGATTACACCCAGCTCTTGAACATGAAAGTCAAAGCTGGAATTACATTTATATGGCTATAATAAATCTTGCATGCACTTTAAAATCGAGGATGTGTGGGACAGCCTCCTCCAAACATCTGGTACCTTCTAAGATTTTATAGACTATGGGAACCAGAGGGAGATTTTAAAAAGAGTTTGCTGATGTAGGAAGGCAAAGGTTGGTGAGACAAAAGGCAAGGATTCTATTTCATTTCATACTATTTTTATCAGTGCAATGTTATGGGATGCTTCTTACGGCAAGTACAAATGTGAGACCTTGAAATGATTTTAGACCATCCCACTTAGTCAAACCCTAATAATCTCAGCTTATTAACTCAACTCTAGTAAGCTAGACATGTACATTCTTGTCCTTGGGTAATTTAATATTGTTATACTACTTATAATAGACTGTGATAAAGTGTGGTAGGGAAGTAGAAATTCAGGATGCTAGGAGTCTACTCAACATGGGGGGTCAACATAATCTTAGGCGTTCAGGGAAGCCCTGTCTCAGCACATTATTAGTCAGATTTTTTTTTTTCTTTAACCTCTGTGACTGAAAGACCTGAGAACAACAATTTTAGAGGGGAGAGAGTTTATTGGGTGCTCATGGTTTCAGAGGTCTCCGTTCCTAGATGGCCGACTCCATTGCGCTGGCCCTGAGATGAGGCAGAACATCATGGCAGAGGAGAGCAGCTCATCAGAGACAACACATACAACCTCAAAGGCATGCCCCCAGTGACCTGTCTCCTCCAGGCACACCCTACCTGCCTGCAGTTACCACATAGTTAACCCCTCAGAGGTTTAATCCATTGGTTGGGTCACACTCTCATAATCTGATCATCTCACTTCTGAGCATTCTTGCACTGTCTCACAGGTGAGATTATGGGGGACACTTCACATTCAAATACAGCAGTAATACAGGCTAAAACGGTAAATATGGTTATATCACATTAGCATTGTCAGGCATGAATGAGGTTGAATATCCACAGCGCATCCAGTTATTATAATAGAGCCCAGATCTTCGCACGCTCCTGTGGCAATTTCAGTCATTGTAGCATGATCTGTCAGTGGTTCTTACCATGCTCATTTGTTTTTGTCTTTGACATGTCTGTGATCAAGTCTCACCACTATCACCACCACTGCCACAGACTTGAACTGATAGATTTGGGGAATATCTATTATTTCGTCAAGAAAATGCCATGTTCTCTGGTCTATAGATTCCCTCCAGTGGGGGTGGGGGAGCCAGCCACCAGGGAAATAAGTTTGTCTTCCTTTGGGTCTTAGGCTCTCCAAGACAAACAAATGGTATCAAACTTCTTTCATATTGCCTCATTGTGAAGTTTTGAGATGTGCAAAGTCAGAAAACTCACTTGAGAATAAGAAATAAATCCCAAGGTGGGTACTCTGACTGTCAAGACTGGCAAGAAACCCTGTGGTGTGAACTGTCTGTTCATTCCTTCCCTCATTCATCAACATGTATCGAGAGCCTGCCCTGCACCTTGCTTTGTTTAAGCATACTGATAGAGCAGAGGACAGATAAGGCCACTGTTGATAAGAACAGGACTCCTGGAATAAATGGAAACATCTAGACAGGGAAATGGAAGGGACTGACTGCAGAAAGAGGCTGATCTATTTTACTTTGTAGGTCGACTCTTTTAATGGAAGGATGAGTAATTCAGTAATTTAAAAATCACATATCCCTATTGTTAATGGACTCAGTGAGAGTAGTGATGGCAGAAACAAATCAGATAATGAGCCTGGTCCTTTCATTGTGACAGCTGCTATCGAGTTGTAAATGAGAGC